ACCAATCAGAAAGGATATATGCACCCCTATGTTCATAGCAGCACAATTCACCATAGCTAAGATTTGGAAACAGCCTAAGTGCCCATCAGCAGATGAGTAGATTAGAAAACAGTGGTACATCTACACAATGGAATGCTACGCTGCTATAAAAAAGAAGGAATTCTTACCATTTGCAACAGCATGGATGGACCTATATGCTAAGCGAAATAAGCCAGTCAGAGAAACATAAATAAACAGGGAATTCAGAGTTTGAGTTTCAGTCTGAGTAACTGAGAAAATCACTGAAGTGTCTGATGGCCTATTAGTGATCAGGCTATCTTTACTCTATCAGGATGTTGGGAGCCTCGGATAATTTTAAGTCCAGTTTATAGGAAATTTTTAAAAAGCTACAATTTTTATAAACTTGAGTTTGTGCCTATGAAATTCATTGTGTATGAACCATAATTGCTAGAATACACAAAGGCATTTATTGTCTTCTTTATTGACAGGTATATTGATAAACACCCCTCCATTATCTGATTTGATTCTCCATGTGAGGCAGGTAAGGCAGGTATTATAGTTCCCATTTTACAGATGATGAAACTGAGGCTTGGAGAGATAAAGGACTATTGCCAAAGTCACAGGATTTGTGAGTGGCCATACAAAACTACACCCAAGACTTAGGACCTCTCTTTCAGTCCTTCCTCTATACCAGAACTTCTTCCAAGGATAGGCACAGAAGTTCTTGCCATTCCCTTCAGAGTCTGTTTTAGTGCATATCTTCCAGGTTATATAAACCAAGTTATATAATATAATAAATCCTTTGGCTTAATGTGCTACCAGTTCCTCTTATTAATTGTAGTGAAATAAGAGTTTTCTGTGTGTATGTATGTTCCTGCATACCTGAATGCACACTTTTGGGAGGGGACAATTCAAAAATAATTTTGAATCATTGGCTTTTCAGCATCTGTCAAAATTCTGGATAATGTAGCAGCAAAAAGCATCAATTCACTGTATAAGCCTGAGCAAGTTTCCTCCCTTCCCCTTGTAAAATGAGGATAACATCTATTTTGTAGGGAGGCTAAGAAATTTAAATGGGGCCATTTGTATAAAGTACCCAGCCCTCTGATCTTCCTGTTGTAAGTGCACAACACAAGGTGGGTACCATCACCAACACAAGCAGAACCCCAGGCAAAATTGGGAGTGATAGGTACAAAAGCAGGGCTTGGGAGAGTTAACTGGCTAGATATAATGGAGAGTTTTACCTCAAAAAAGAGATTGTTCTGGAAAAATCTGTTACTGTCTCCTAAGAAAGTTATCAGTGAGGACTGGGAGCTCTACGTCCTTAGATTTACCCTTTTCAAGTAGTGGTTACAAGTCTGCTTACACAGTGAATCCACCAAGTCAGAGAGCACAGGGATACCCACCAAGAAATAAAGAACCTGGAGGCCAGGCCAGTGAGTTCGGAAAATAGTTTGAGTAAAGCAGAGAGTGACCTTCCAAGGAGATACACAGAGAAATGGGTCACTTTCAGAACTTCAGTTAAGATTTCATCCTTGTCACATTCTGGTTCATGGCAGAGAGACAACAAATAATTGTTGACGCAACCAGTGAATTATAAGGACACTTCACACTGACCATCAGCAGATAAAACCTTGATTAGGTTCACAGGTAGAATGGAAGACTGGGCCAGCTCTGCCAATTTTCTTTAGCTAAATGGAACCATGCCGAGAGAAAGAATTGACTTAGAAAAATGTAAACTATTACTATGCTTTTTATGTTGCAACTTTTCAGGTGAATTAAGTCTACCAGCTATCATGATTTCAATATCGGAGTTTGGATGGTGTGGGGCCAAATGCATGACAGGGCCCTTTTATCAAAATAACCTTTGCAGAATAAATTAGCTTTTTGGATCAAATGTTTTGCTGTCAATTTACATTTGTGCTTCTTCTACAGGTCTTTGAATGTTAAGCATCTTTTGCTGTGGAAGGAAAAGTATGCCTGCTAAAGGGTTTTCTGACATCAGGGAGCTGGTTGGGAAGGTTTTTGTAAGGAGCAAGGAATGCTGTGGAGTTTGGGAGGATGGGCTATAGTTGTCTACTATACCTCCATTACAGCTGGGGCTGGTCAGCACCCCTGTGATATTCTCTAGGTCCTAGCAGCCCTATATACTGCCCATGGATCTTTCTATCACCAGCTTTGGTTGGAGAAGACAATGCATCTGCCTTTGAACTGGTTAGCAGGATAAGAATAACCAAGTAGAATATAATAAGAAGGGGCTGATTCCTCTATACCAGGCTCAGAATTTCTGAGTGTTCTTAGCAGAGCATGGTGACTGTCCTGTGATCTGCTCAGTTCTGTTCACCCTTCAGCCCAGAGACCACACTTTGAGAACAAGTGCCCTAATAGATTCTATAACTGGCTCTTCCAATAGCTTTTGAGGGAGGGCCAGACAGCTATAAGTCCTTTCCCTGCATCTGTAGAAGTGATGGGGAGGATAATGTAAAGGAGGATGGCTCACAAGCTTGCTCCACCCCTCTCTCTTTCCCATAGAAGCTCCTGAGTTACCCCTGACAGAGGAGACCCTGGGCTGTGTGGACCTTTGGTCTTCCCTGCAAGCATCTCAGATAATTTTCAGGTCTGTCCTTGCCCAAAAGCAGTCATGACTGCAGCATCCCCAGAGTGCTTTCATGTTTCAAGTCTTGATCCCTAATGCCCCTTTCCACCCTTCTTTCACCCAAATCGCCTTTCCCTTCTCAGATCCCTGATCTCTGCCTTTCCCTGTCTGCTGCCAGTTGCTTCCTGGAGCCCTGGTACAGGATGGATGGGCCTTCATAATAACCCTGGTAGGCAGCTGTGGGGCCAGGGCCTCCCCTTTGAGGCTGGTGTGCCTTTGATTTCTTGACAGATTAGCAGCACACAGAAGCAAAACCCGTGTAAAAAGCTGAAGTGAAACGCCCAGTTCTCCACATGACACATGCCTGTACTACACTGTGACTGGCAGGTAAGGGGGAAAGCTATTTGCAGTGCCCAGCAAGCTAGATGCTTGTTCTGAAGAGCCAGCACAGCCTAAAAATACCACAAAGGGTAGGAGGGAGAGAAAGGAAACTTTAGCATGGAATAATATCAAAAAATTAAAAATAGAAAGGCTTTTGGTAAATGAGAGTCACCAGTTGCTGTTTTGCTCACCACCTGCAGGGCTTTTAGGATTCCCAGCAGACAGCCAGTAGCAGGCATGACAGAAAACAGTGAAATTATTTCTGGGAAAGGAGTCAGGCCACCAATAGATGGAAGGCGGAAGCAAGTGTAGACAGACGAAAGTGTCATGTAGTGGGCTGAACTGATTGAGATTGACAATAACCCAGCCTGGCAATTAATGAGATCCAATAGATGTGGGGTTTGCCTCCAATTTGATGAACCACTTTGTCAGGCTTGTTTAACCTTGGTCTCAAATCAGTGAGATTGTAGAGTTTGCATCCTCCTCCTTCCCCAAATCTCCTATCCCCTCCCCCAGCCTACCACCATAGCTTCTTCATTTATTTTAAGCTCTGGAAGATAAATGATTTGGTTGAGCTTCATTCTTATTGTCTTTCTTAGAAAATGTCTGGATTAGCCAGGTAAATAAATGTCCTCCCCATGAATGAGTTGCCCTAATCAAGGAACTCATATTGAATAAACCTGGCCCAGCACTGGCAAGATCTTTGGGGGAGGGAAGCTGTGGACTGTTAGCAGAGTTCAGAAGGTTTACCTTATACCTCTGTCCAGAATTATGCAGAGGAGGAAACTGATCTATTTTCCTGTTCTCCTATAACAGATGTAGTACACAGGGCCCTCAATAAATATTTGCTGATTTTCAAATAAATGAGTGATGGGCTGGGCTGGCATTCATTTAAAACTGTGGGATTTAGTATCAAAGCTGTTGCACTTGACTGGAGTTCTTTTAGTGAGGGGTGTGATGAACCTTAGGGTTCTCTAAGAACTGGTTGGTTATCAACCCAATAGTGCCATGTCACCCCCCACCCCCCACCCCCACAACTGCATGCCAGGAGTCAGGGCCAGTTTCATCCAGAGAGACATGTGTCTGGGCCACTGTGTCAGCAATGCCACATACCTGACCATGACCTTAAGCTAACCGTAGAGTCAAGCCCCATTCTGCTCAGCCATGAGAGCTGTTATCAAGTCTGTATGCCTTTAAAAACCCCTCCTCCCATAGGTGAATTGGGTTGGGTTTCTAAGTATTATAGGTTGCTGAATTTCCATGGCACACTGAGAATTTCAGAAGACTCTATATTATAGATATTCTTATGCTGTAAAATATATCACATAAGGTGCATCAGAAACCACTAGGAGTATACAGAGGTATTTAGATAAACAGATTCCAGATAATCTGGGCAAAAAAAGACTCTTATGAAGTTGACCTTGGAGATGATAAAAGACGGGAGAAATTCTAGTGTCCTTTGAACAGCTTTGTTGATGGGGATTCAGAAAGATATCTTGGGTATAGGTTTTTATTTTATTGATTGATTGATTGGTTATCTAAAGTTTACATATGTCTCCATTTTCACCAATTAACCCCCCCAAGCCATTCCAACCCCAGGCAAGCCCCCACCGCCCCAGTGTGTGTCCATTGGTTATGCTAATATGCATGCATACAAGTCCTTTGGTTGCTCTCTACCCACCCACCCCCACCTCCCCTGCCATTTGTCTCTGGATCTATTATTGTTCATCAAATTATGTTGATCATTATATCCCACATATGAGTGATATCATGTGATATTTATCTTTCTCTGACTGGCTTATTTCGCTTAGCATAATGCTCTACAGTTCCATCCATGCTGTTGCAAATGGTAAAAGTTCCTTCTTTTTTTATAGCAGCGTAGTATTCCATTGTGTAGATGTACCACAGTTTTTTAATCTACTTATCTGCTGATGTATGCTTTGCATGGTGCCAAGTACTTTATATGCATGAGCATATCTGATTCTTAAAATGTACTTTTGAGGTGGGTAGTGAAAGCTAGATTTGTTTCCATATCTTAGCTATTGTAAATTGTGCTGCTATGAACATAGGGATGCATATGTCCTTTCTGCTTGGTTTTTCTGGTTTCTTGGGATATATTCCTAGAAGTGGGATTACTGGGTCAAATGGGACTTCCATTTTTAACTTTTTGAGGAAACTCCATACTGTCTTCCACAGTGGCTGCACCAGTCTGCATTCCCACCAGCAGTGCACGAGGGTTCGTTTTTCTTCACATCCTGGCCAGCACTTGTCATTTGTTGATTTGTTGAAGATAGCCATTCTGACAAGCATGAGATGGTATCTCATTGTTGTTTTGATTTGCATCTCTCAGATGATTAGTGACTTTGAGCATGTTTTCATATGTCTCTTGGCTTGGGTATAGGTTTTTTAAAGCTACACCTAAGACTAGGAAGCATATAATTCAATATATTTAATAGCTAAGGTTTAGAGAAGTTAAGTGACTTTCTCAGAGATCATCAGTAGTTTCAGGCCTCAGTGTTAAAATTAGCAATATGGGCTTAAAATGGAAGATAATTTTATAGGTTTTTCCATGGTACCACATTGCACTTCCTTTTTATAACTGGGTATTCATGATTTCAAAAGCAGCAATGGGAGGAAGATTAGGGAAGAGAATGTTATTGAGCATTTTTTTTGTATGCTTTGCATGGTGCCAAGTACTTTATATACATGAGCATATCTAATTCTTAAAATGTACTTTTGAGGTGGGTAGTGAAAGCTAGATTTTTTTAAGTAAAGGAAACCAAGATTCAAAGAGGTGGCTAAACCAGCACATTGATTTTTGGCATATAGACTAAAGACCATACTTAGTCGACATTACCACACATCAGACTGCCAACCAGATTAGCTCAGAGGCCTAATTTGCTCTGGTCAACTGCCAAAATACAAGGTCACACTAAGTTATGAGAAGGGAGGTGTCACCATGGACTTGATACATGATAGAAGACTGCACATTCCTTCTTTGATGATCAGTGAAGCCATAGCAAAATTATAAAAGTTACTATAATAGAAAATAAAAAAGTTACTCTAGTAAAGAATTACAAATTATAAAACCTAAAACATGAAAAAGTATTTGCCTCATCCTAAGCCCTTAGCTGCTGCTTCCATCCTTCTTAAATTTATCTGTTGAATGAGGACTATTTTCTTCAATATTAAAAGGGATCCTATAATATTTACAGAAAGGCTGAATGACAAAAAACTTTTTTTTTAATCTCAGAGTGAAAAACAAGGACCAATAGGTGGAAATTAAAAGATGGCAGCTTTGCCCTCACCGGTTTGGCTCAGTGGATAGAGCGTGGGCCTGCGGACTGAAGGGTCCGGGTTCGATTCCAGTCAAGGGCATGTACCTTGGTTGTGGGCACATCCCCAGTAGGGGGTGTGCAGGAGGCAGCTGATCAATGATTCTCTCTCATCATTTGTTGTTTCTCTCTCTCTCCCTCTCCCTTCCTCTCTGAAATCAAATATATATATATAAAAGATGGCAGCTTCAAGCTAACAGGAAGAACTTTTAGGCAAATGGGTCTGTGTGACTATGAGATGGGTTGCTTCAGAATGAGCTAAGTTCTCTCCCTTGGACATGCTTAAACAGAAGTTTGAAAATACTTTGGGGATTTGCCATAGGACAGATATTAGATTGGATGATCTCCAAGGGCCTTTAAGGATCTGAGAGTGCATGACATGTGACACCAACAGTGAGAGGATCAGTAGCTAACTGGACCCACTGACTTTTCTAACCTGTCATTGTGCAAACCTCTGCTTAGTTTGCTCATCATCACCATCAATACTAATCACTGATCAAAGCTGTACTGAACCTTAATCTATTTTCAATTAGAAACAGATTTTGCTCTTATCTGAGCCAACTCTGCTCTACTATTCAGTGCCAATTTGGGGGATGGGGCCCAAGTCAAATGAGTATGTATGATTCTGCTTGAGTCATGGAAGATTTAAAGGGAAGAGTAGATGGAAGCCACAAGGAGGCAGGACTGTCCAAATCCTTTGGAGGAAGTAGCTTCTTCTTACTGAAGGTGGCCTCATTTAGGTCAGCTATGACTAGAGCCAGGGTAGGAGTCAGATATTATTTAGGAGACCAGATCATTGCCTCTTTAAGGTCCCTTCTAATCAAAGAATCTTTGGAATTTTTTGTTTGTTTTGTTAATCCTCACCCAAAAATATTTTTCCCATTGAGTTTTAGATAGAGTGGAGTGGGACAGACCTAGAGAAATATCGATGTGAGAGAAACACATCAATTGGTTGTCTCCCACATGTGCTCCGACCCAGGGCTTGGATCCAGCCTGCAACAGAGGTACGTGCCCTTGACCTGGAATCGAACCTGAGACCCTGTGGTCCACAGACTGATGCTCTAACCACTGATCAACCAACCAAAGCAATCTCTGTTTTTTAATGAGGAACCATTTAGGAACCACTAATTATGAAAGATAATATGACATTATTTTTAAAATATATTTTTATTGATTTCAGAGAGGAAGGGAGAGGGAGAGAAAGATAGAAACATCAATGATGAGAGAGAATCATGGATCAGCTGCCTCCTGCATGCCCCACACTGGGGATGGAGCCTGCAACCCAGGCATGTGCCCTGACCAGGAATCCAATCACGATCTCCTGGTTCATAGGTCAATGCTCAACCACTGAGCCACACTGACCAGCCAATCTGACATTATTATATAGATTTAAAAATGTTCTGAATCAAATTTTGGCGCATAGACCTGGGTTTTACTTCCAGATCCAACACTAATTAACTGTGTGTAATCCATGTGTTTTTTTAATCTTTGGGGGATTCATTAGTCTCATGAATAAAAGGGTAGGTCATTCATTTATTCATTCAATGCCTACCATGTGTAAGGCACTGTGCTAGGTGTGTGGGGAACAGATAAATCAGACTCTCATGGAGTTGAAAGACTCAACTGAGATGCTACATGTAAAGTTGCATCATGAAGAGAAAGAGCTGCAGA